GTTCAATGGTGTCGGGGTTCTTCTTCCGTTTCACGCGCGTCCCACATCTCGCATTTAGATAAACGCTCTCCCGTGTGCCATCGTCTCCGTTCGCCTTTCACATTGATCTCGCGATTTCTTCCATCCGAGAGAAATACGTCGACACCGACCTGAGTTCAGTTTTCCTCAACGATTTTAAATAATTCTATTCCTTTCGTTGAGAAGTAACAATTATCTATTAAATAATTTAAGAATTGATGTTTTAAGACAATTTCAAGTACAAAAGGTTTCGTTTAAAAATAATTTAAGAAACAGTGCATAAATTATAGAAGTAGTTTAAATGAGCTGAAACGGTATCAGGACGGAGAGAATTGAATTGGTACGATTAAACAGTGGATGCGAAGGCGAAGTAGTACAGCTCGAGCATTTCCGAGGCATCGACGTTTGCGACCCAATTAAACGGACCTAAGAGAGGTAACGATGACTAATTCGCTCGAAAACAATTAATTTTCAACGGGGGATACGTGCTCGAGCGATAAGTGATTACCTCAGCGAGTGTCAAGTCGTACTCGAGTCGGTTAAATTGCGACTGTATATACGACATCTGCACAAACGCTTCGAGAACGTCGAAGCGTACCTACACAACTGCGACTGGCTTCGCCGTTCAACTTATCCTAGTATTAGGTCAATTGGATCCGGATATCTGTTTCAGTTTGTTGCATCCTCTACGGCTTTGGGACTCGTGATACACGTACAGTTTTACATCATTTCACTGTGAAGCATACGTTGTTTCGTTCGATCGTCCCGCTAGAATTTAATGAATCGTGCTTTGTTTTATTATTTTAAACGATTAATTTATTCCATATCGAGCGATTCTAAGAGGGAAACTAATTCGTTCTAAGTTTTTATCACGCTCGAATCATTTTCTGACTGTTGAGAATTTTCGTGTCATTCTAATAAAGAGAAACGTGACGTTCATTACTCGCAGACACGCCGGTTTGCAAGGAGGGCAGGAGCGAGGTGGTGGTTGGCGCACTGAAACAGGAAACCGTATCGTTGGTTTGTTCCGTCGAGAGTCATCCGGCGCCGTTGACTTTCCACTGGACATTCAATAATTCCGGCGAGCTGGTCGAGGTCTCTCATTCTCGTTACTCTCACGTGCCAGCGGCCGCCGGGACGCCGTCCGTCGCCGAAAGCCTGAAGGAGTACCAACAATTCCACGGGTCCAGGCTGAACTATACGCCCGCAACGGAAATGGACTACGGCACGGTGGCGTGCTGGGCGAGCAACCAGGTTGGCAAGCAACGGGCACCGTGCCTCTTTCAGGTAAAATGCATTGCTACCATTTCTCCTCTACCGCCGCTCCGTGGCAGCTCGCAATTTTCGGAATCGTTGAACTTGGGATATCAGTTACAATATGTTAATTTGTAGTTCTACTTCGCGTTTCACCATGTTTCGAGAAATAAACGGAATGCAGTTCCTCGCGGAAATATTGCATCGTTTAAGGGAACAGTGCTGCTTCTTTTTTTTTTTAATGGACTGAATTAAATCCAGGCGCTGTTCCCACAATTATTGTTTAATTAACAGAATCGGAGCAATTAGTAATGCCTTTAATCTCAATTCAACAACAAAAATCTCATAGTCTTCTCTGATATTGTCCTGAATATAACAGTTAGCAAAAAATTTTAGCACGTGGATAAAAACATAGACAGCTACAAAGCTACGTATTTTATATTGAATCGAACTATCGGTCAAAAAAGAATTTTTTCTAGTAGCTTAAAGCTACTAGCTTTCTCTGTCCTTTTAGGGACACTCCTGGTTTTATGTTTTCCTTTTTATATCTGGCGTTTCGTAGCCAGTACGGGGACACGGTGAAAAATTCGACTTTGAGTTTTCGACAAACTTGCACGTTTGAACGTGTACACGATTTGACCATTTTCGTAGCGATGTCCGGGGTGCAGTCGTGTGTGCGTGATCTGCAATATTTTCTGGACGGAAAAATGGAACCCAATACCGGATTTTGACTTCGCTAACAGAAAGCCAGTATTGTGTTTCCCTAGCGGAGTCACCGATTCTATAAATTTATTAACTTGGACTTTCATAACTCGATCAAATTTGGTATTCAGAATCCTATGTATGTAGTTTTACGCGTAGTTAATGCAGTCAGAACATATACTATACTCTCGTACATATACATAAACTCTTCGTTTCAAATATAAATATTTCACTGATCAAAATGTAAAACAAGACCACCAATTGGACATTCAAATACCTATGAATCTTTTCGTTTCTGTATAAAAGGTAGATGCAAATTCTTTCGAGGTATAATCCTCATTGTTATCTCTCAAATGATCGACTTTTGGACGCGAAATTGTGAATTGGATTAGTTCAGTTATTCATTGATAGAATATCCGATTCTCCGTGACGTACGAGCGATGGTGTGAATCGGGGAATAAAAAGAAATCGATGGATACGAATCTTGCAAGACAGATTCATTTATGGCAGAAAAATCAGCGCTAATTTGTTCGATTAGAGAGAACTCTGTCGTCACTTTATCGATACGTTATTCCAACGAGACGAGCGTCATCGCGGATTGGACGTGCCAACACAGAATTGCTTTTAATACTTTGAAATCGAATTTCTTCGTAAATGGAAAATGTTCGACCGAGCCGATGAACGTCGACTATCACATATTGCGATGATAGTAAATGTACATCGTAAGTGCATTACGCAAACGAATGAGAGCTGTGTAATATTTTTCTGCAGAATACATATCCATCGACCATAAAGAAAATCGAGCTAAAGAACATGAAATAAGCTTCGCATAAATTCATATCTTTGTAAGGAAGAGTTTCGTAAAAAAATAAATCGATTGGTTACGTTTTTCAGGTGATAGCCGCCGGACGTCCGTACGCTCTGCACAACTGCACGACTACGGAGATGTCAGCTCCTCTGGACTCGGACGCTGATTTGAACGCGAAGTCTGGAACGGGATTGATAGTGAGATGCTTGGAGGGTTACGACGGTGGTCTCCCGATTTACAGCTACCAGCTGGAGGTGGTCGCGGACGAGGACGGCGGTCCGGTTTTGCTGAACAAAACTGTGCCGGCCGGTCCGAACGGGCCGACTTTCGAAGTGGCAGGCCTAACGACAGGAAGGAGTTATCGACTTTTTCTGTACGCGATTAATGCCAAGGGGAGGAGCGAGCCTGCCATCCTCGAGCCAGTGACCCTGAAGGGTGTCGCCATGTACACGACCGGTGAGTGCATTGACTTTCTAATACCTGCCGTGTCGTGTTTGGTTCAACCCCGTTTGACAGACGTCAAATTACCATCGCGACGAGAAACTATTACCCGCGTTAATTAACGTTTCCGTCTCGCTGTTCGATATGTTCCACACGCTTCGAATCACGATGCAATAACGTACCACGTTCCACTTATTAAATGTGTATAAAGTACTGATAATCATCTCCTACATTTATACTCTGTTGAAATTTGAAAAAGAAAATAACTGATCGCAGAGAATTTTTACGTGGAACCACGATAAGATCAGGCGAAGGCATTCAATTGCAGTAGTAATAAATATGAAACTGTAATAAACGGCGTTAAGATCGTTTCTACTGTATGTATGGAATAATAGGACTCTTATTTAAATCTTAAACGCTGCCCGGTCGATGGTACAATTACTCTCGTTACTTTCGCTTCGAGTATTAATCGCAACAACTGGCAATCACGCGACCACTTGAAACAGAAACAATTAAACGAGAGATGTTCCTCGACGATAAGCGATAAAGGATGCAATTAGTGCTTGTTCGATTGTTGCTTCGATAATGGCTGATGTATAGGATAACTCTGTGACAGTTGCGCCTGTAATTATAGGTATGCGACGCATCTCGAAACTAGACGAGTTGGCAATTTCCCTTTTTCTAAAGGTACTTTTTAATTAAACAGCGAACGTGACATGTGTCCTAATTGTTCAAGAAGTTGTCCAATTAAACATTTCACATCCGTTTCGGTTCAATCTATCCTCATCCTCGGTGGCTAAACTTAGCAACAATTAGTCTCGCCGAAAATAATTTTTATA